AGATAGAATTGTTTATTAATAGAAAATTAGTTTTAGTTCATGATAAAATGGAGGATAGGTTAGAAGGGAAAAATTGCTAATTTAAATTATTTAAAAATCTCTTTGAATCAAAATCATCTTGCTATAGTTTCACTAGCTAGCTTGGTGCAGCCCTTCAGTACGGGCAATAGCCTTAACCGGTGAGGCAGACCGTACTTGAGCGCCCATAGAGGAAGCCGAGTGATGTCAGATCTATAACTTAGATAGTATATAGTGTAACTTTATATTAGCTTTAATCTAATAAAGATACCGGCGAGGCTGCTAATATATAAAAAAAAAAAAAAATTATATAAAATTATTAAATTATAAATTTTAAAAATTACTATTTTTTAATAATATACTTACTTTAGATCTAATAAATAAGCAAGTGCTAAAGCTGGATAAAAAATAAATTTGAATCTTGTAATAATCAAATTGAAAATTTCTTCTTCATAATATAAATCTAAATTAAGTTCTTTAACTGATAAATAAAGATTATTCTACTTAGCATAAACATGTGATAATAATAGAAAATCTAATTCAAATAATTTAATGTCATGGCTGATGCTGAAATTGCTGATGCTGAAATTTGGACCTATTTTGATACAAAATTTTAAACAAATTTTGGGGTGTTTTTTTACCGCTTTTTTTTTATAGTTAGGTTAGGATTTAGGGTTAGAATTTATAATTAAAGAGTATATGTAGATTCTAGCAGGGTCTATATTTTAAAATTGGAACCCCAAATTTCAGCATCAGCCAATTTCAGCATCAGCTGCAACATTTAATAAACACATATGAAAGATATTAATAACAATTTTAAAAGTTTTAACTTATTCTATAATTCTTTTCCTAAAATTTTGGTTTTCAAATTATAGCCTATAATATTAGAAAGTATAGGTTATAAAACAGATATTTAAATTGCTATTTTACAGTATATAATAGACTAAACTGAATTAAGATAAGTTTTTCAAAATATATCTACTAGCTTAACAAGTATAATAGTATTAGGTTCTTGCTGTAAAATAGCTTCAGTCCAATAATGGCTTCTAAAAAAAGTACCAATTTCTTTTGTATTATTTATTGATTCTTCTACCAAAGAGTAATAATGAAAAGAGTAACCTGGTTGTGCTAATGGAATAAACAAACCTGGCCATTGTAATTAAAATAGAATAGAATATGAAAAGTGTAAATATGAAGCTTCTGTTTATCAAAAACCAGCTGACATAAAGAATGTCAGTAAAATGAATAATACTGGTCACTATTATCAAAATGAAATTAAAATAAAGAATAAATATCAGATATTCAAATATTATAAAGAACCTGTTAATAAAGGTTATGAAGAAGAAATTGGTGTTAAGAAAAACAAAGAATATAACAGAACTACTGTTTATCAAAAATTCGTAAAAAAAGATAATTCTAAAAAAATATTTGATATTAGCTCTTACCATGAAGATAAAAATGAAGCAAATGAAGTTGGTGAATATGATCTTTATCTTAATTATCTGAAAGGCTTCGAAGATGATAATAAGAATGATTTAAATTTTAAAGCTGAAGTAGGAGTTAAAAAGTATAAACATGATGCATTTGTTTATTACTAAAAACCTAATAAAATATATAATAGCATGCTAGTTGTTAGATATTATAGAATTGGTGTTAAAATCAAAAAGATGAAAATAAAGCACATATTCACTATCAAAAATTAGCTAAGATGAATCTTGCTGATGAAGTACAAGACAATGGTTGGTTCTATTAAGAAGAATTTAGAAAAAATGATAGGTTGTTCGTTTGTTATTAACAATCTACTGAGAGTAATAACTCTAGTAAAATAAGCAATGATATATATACTAATGAATGTGAAAGTGAGGTAGAACAAAGGAATATGGATAAAGAGTATTCGAAGAATATTAAAGATAATGAATTAAATCAAATAAGTAATCTTGAAATTTCTAAAAATCATGAGCCTGATGATAACGTCTATATGAAAATAAATGATAGTAAAACAATGATAATAGTAAGATAATTTTTAATAAGACAAATGAAAAAATAATAGAAGAATTTATTAGTAATATGGAAATACTAATTGGAAACAACAATAGAAACAGAGATCAAAATAAAGAATTGATTAGAAAAAGTAAAATGTACCTTCTCCATCAAAATATTGACAAATTACTTGTTGATCTAAATAAGGCCCGAAAAATTAAGCCAGAGGATATAAAAGTATTAGAAAATAAAGAAAATAAATTAAAGAATATAGTTGAAAATCAAGGTTTAACCTACTTTAGTAAGAAAGAGAGAGAAATAATACCTCCTGACTTATATGAGGTCTTTGAAGATAATAATTTAAATGAACAATATAACTCTGGATCTTGCTTTCGAAATAGCATAAATATGATAAAAAACAAATGGATAACTATAAATAAATCGGCAGAACGTGAGGATAAAACTAAAAATAATAATATGTGATTTAAAGAATAAATAGTGGAAATCAAAAATAATATGAATAAAGATATTAAAAATAATGAAGATAAAAGTGCAGTTGTAGTATATAAAATGGATAATGATATAGAAAAGAAGAATAAAAAAGAAAAATAGTAGTTAGTAATAGTAGAATATATTAAGTAGAAACAATATTGAAGAAAGTAATAGACTAGTGGTTTCGATACCTATTAATGTGCTAGTTATACATTTCATGCACCCAAATCTTTAATTCTGGAGGAAGTATTTGTGTAACAACTCTACTGCCATACTAAAAAAAACTATAGGTTTCTTTGAATCTTCAAATGAAGAACATCCTAATATTGATATTTAATTTTGTAAAAGCTCAGTCCTTTGTCCAACAAGAAATAGAGGAAGTACTAGAATTAGCTCATTTTGCAAGAGCTTAATGATAAGGAGAGGCAAATATAATAAATAAATTTTTCTTTTTTATTTTTATTAGTATAGTTTTTATTTATTATTATTATATTATTATTTATATATATAGTTCTTTTCTATTCTATTTTCATAGCAGTAACTGACTTTCTTTGTAAATATTTTAATTGAGTATACTAAAATAGTAGTTGATTGTGACTTGGTAGCTTATTCCATGCAAGAGTGTATATTGATATGCTTAAACAAATCATGTATATGTCTTTACACAAATTTGTGTCAAGAGCATATACATTCAAAACAAGAGCGCATATATTTAAAAAGAGTATATACACTTAAAAGAAGAGTGTATATATTCAAGATCAGAGTTTAAACACTCTCACAAAATAAATGTATATAAGTGCCTGAAATTTAATAGAGAACAATCATTATTATTCAATTTTTCTCTACTTTCAATCTCTAATAACTAATAAAGACTATATACTTATCTGAATTTTCCTTTATATTGTTACAGTACCGTGGCCTTCTTAACAGCAGTACTATAACAATGACACGGCTACAGAGATCCTTCACAGGTTT